TTTACTGTCTGGTACCTGAAAGGGAAATAAATGGAACTCAACCCAGGCGAGATAACGGCTCGCTGGGCTCAGCGAGGGCGCGGCGCCGCTAGCGATTGGCTCTGCTGCCCCTAACCTGCCTCTGGCCCAGCTTCGCCCTCTGCCCTCTAACGCTGCGTGGACTTCCCAGGACTTGAGTGTCTGGTCCAGACTCGCTGGTGCTTGCTCTGATCTGCTCACTCTCACACACTTCAGGAGCTGGCCGGGGCTGCTCGCCCTCTTTGCCCTCGGTATCGTTTCGCTATTCATTCAGCTGAGATAACCCTGCATTAAGCCACCCCGCCACGCATGCGTGCAAACCTCTTGATTTGCCCCACGGTACTGACACCAAAATAGCCTCTTCCTCTGCCCTTCCCGTGTCCTGCCTGCTGCCTCAGTCCTGCACCCCAGACCCGGAGCCCCCTCCTGTGGCCACTTCTTGCTGTCGACCCCAGAGGGCCTCCTTCGGTGCTTGAGCAGCTCCTGACTCAGGGAGAACCTCTGCTCCACCCCGTCCCTGAGCTGCCTGTGTGCTGGTTCCTTCAGACCCTAACGCTACTAACCAGCAGGCTCATCTCACCTTGGGCCTGAAATATTTCTTTTCTTTTTTTTTTTTCCTCCCCCAATTTTCCCTGGGCCTGGAGCAGCCAAGAATTTCGGGCTGTTTGACTTTCTGTGAGCCCCCAACAATGGGAGGCTCAGCCTCTGAGGAGACCAGGAACCCTGCTTCAGCAGCCCCTGGGGGCTTCCCAAGGATGTCTGGCCCCACTCCCACGCTTCGGCGACACTAAGCTTCTGGGGAGGGCTCCAGCTTCAGCCATGCACAGGAGGCCTTGTTTCTTTCCAGAAAAAATTAATCTCTCCCTCCCTCTCTCTCTCTCTCTCTCTCTCACACACACACACACACACACACACACACACACACACACACGTGCCTATGCAAGTTCACTTAAGCTTCAGGGCTGGTCCCTTCACAGAGGGCTGGACCCTCTCCAGACAGTAGGGCTGGTCCCCTGACTTCCCTGCCCCTCTCCTCAGAGCCCTCAAGCCACCCGCACGTGTCTCCAAATCTTCCTACCTGGAAAAAGCCCATAAGCTGGATCTCAGGCTGGGCTCAGCGGAGAACTCTCCAGGTGACTGACGGGTCATTCTCTCGTGCACGCACCATCCTTCCCTTTTCTCACTCTTGCCACGACACCCAGAACAGCACAGGAAGCCGCAGGCCAGTTGAAGTTAGGCAAAAGGACTTCTGGGACTTCCAGAGTTCTAGTTTGGTTTTTTTGTTTGTTTTTGGTTTTTGGTTTTGTTGTTTCAACCTCATTCTCTACTTTAAACAAACCATGATGTTCTCTTTAAGCCTCTACTCAAAATTCTCCTGATACTCCCAGGTTCCCATATTTGCAGGCGAAGGATACTGAGAGAAATGAAGTCCTTAGCCCAGGTTTTGGGGCAAACTGAAGTAGTGGCATTTCAGCATTCATTCATTTAACAAGTATTTCCTGAGGTTTTAGTGAACAAGGGGCTGTGTTGGAAGTATGACTCAGTCCTGCCTGCCTGGGTTTCCTCTCAAACCTAGGCCATGGCTTCTAGCCACCACTACAGGGCCACCTCCTGTACTTTCTGTCTGACTCTGCCTTGTCTGACTTGAGGATACCTCTACCACATTCCTGCCTTCGGGGCTGGTATTTCCGTGGTTCCATCTTTAGTCCACATCTCTCCTATTTACTCCCAAAATGTTGTCACCCATCCTGATGTCCTCAATTGCTGCTGATGTGCTGGTGATTTCCATATACAGCTCCAACCCCACCGTCCCCAGTCTTTACATCTGTATTTGTGTTACCCCCTGGACATCTCCACGGACATGTCCAAATGGACTCAACTCATGCCCCTGACGCGTTCCTCCTCAAATCCCTGTCCTGGTGACATCATCATAAATCTACACTAGCTCACCAGCTAGAAACATTTAGGGGCTTAACTTCATTCTGTGTCTTGTTAGCGTGTTTCATCCTTTCCACTCCAACAACCTTTCTGGAATTTGGCCCTCCTTTTCCCCTTCGCCTCTAATTTACCAGAGCATGAGATTTGGAGTCAGGTTGGTCTGGGTTTGATTCCAGCTCTACTACTTTTTGTTTTCATGATAGGAGAGTTATTTAACCTCTCTGAGCCTGAGTCCTCTTGTACGTAAGAAGATAATAATACCTACCTCACAGGGTTGTTGTGAGGATTTAAATTAGATATTGTACGAAAAGTGCCTAGCACAATGCCTGGCACACAATAGAGTAGGTGCTCAATAAATGTTAGCCATTATTATTATTTACTCTACATCACAGTCATTTAAGGTGTTTGGAAGATAAAACTTTTTTTTTTTTTTTTTTTTGGTACTGGGGCACTGTGCCACTGAGCTAAATCCCTACCCCTAGACAATAAATCTTTTGCAAAGGTAAAATTGAATCCTTGAGTGCTGGTTCAAGGTTTAGAAGTGCCTATTTTGTCACTTAATGGCATCAGGATGTGACCACAGGTTGAGGGAGGCCAGATCTTCATCCTGCTGCATCCTGGCTTCTGGTAGTGGGCTACCAGGGACAGTAAGGTTCATAAACAGATTTCCCTTCCTGCCATGACAGTCTTAAGCCTACTGAGTGAAAGCAGCAGGATGTTGCTGCATACAGAAAGAGAAAGGCCAACATGTTTACCGCAGCTCCTCCAAGAAGCAGGTAGCCTTTTGTGTTCATGGATTAAATCTACCTCTTCTTCGATGTAAAGATTAATTCTGTTAGAGAAAGGAATATGAATCTCATATCAAATCTCATATCAAAATCTCATATCAACAAAATTCAACTCACAATTTTCTAAGAAACATTTGTCTAGGGCTGGGGATTTAGCTCAGCGTTCAGTGGCCTGCCTTGCAAGCGCAAGGACCCGAGTTCAATCCCTGGTACCAAAAAAAAAAAAACAACAAAAAAAACCATTTGCCTATAGAATGTGTACAAAGTTACTGAGAATACTGACAAAGTCATGAAAGGCTATAGCTAGGTTTTTTTGTTTGTTTGTTTGAGCCTGAGTCTCACTATATATAGTTGAGACTGACCTGGAACTCACTATGTAGCCCAGGCTGGTCTCGAACTCACAGCACTCCTCCTGCCTCAGCCTCCGAGTGCTGGGATTACAGGTGTGAGCCACCAAGCCTGGCTTTAGCTAGTTTCTTGTAAGAGTGTGTCTCCTCCCTTCCTGCCCATCCTTGGGTGTTGATCGTTGGAAAAAGGTGTATGTCTGGAAGAAATACATGAGAAAAATTTGGGAGAATCACACCTCTGCCAAGTGTGTATGAGAGAGAGAGAGAGAGTGAGAGGTGAAGGATGAAGAAGCCACTTTTCAGACTCCGGGAACACAAAAGGCCTACAACATTCTAAATTTAACAGATAGGCTTCAACAAAGGGAAAGACTACAGATCCCAGTACACTGCTTGAGAAACCCAGCGTGTGCAGTGGCCGGCATAGGGGCTTCCGGCCGGGAGCGCTAAGGCCACGCCTACCCCGGAAGTTAGGAGGGCGGTCTAAGGTGGTCGGTAGTTGTAGTTTTATAGGCCTGGAGTCCTCAGTTGTCCGAGAGAAAGCCGCAGGACCTGGCGGGACTTGTAGTCTGCGCGGGAGGTGGATGCGCAAGCGCAGCTGGAGCTGGGGCGGGGCCGCGGCACTGCAGTGAAAGCCGAGGCAGCGGGCAGGCGAGCAGGGGGCGGGCGGACATCTTGGGATCTGGAGAACGGCCGGGCTGGCTGAGCAAGGGGCCGCGAACGTCAGGTGAGCTGGGGATTCGAATCTTACAGGGTAGGGGAAGATGCCGCGGGCCGTCTGCCCCGCTGCCTAGTTTTGCCCAGCCCTGCACTGGACTGGGAGAAAAGCTGCCC